TATACCTTTGAATATATTAATCATTTCAGTTATTGTATTCTTCATTTCTGTCTGGTTCTTTTTTATTTTTTATCTCTACATTTATGTTTCCTATCTCTTTGTTAAAGTTCTCACTGATATCACTGAGCACCCTTATAAGCAGTGTTTTTAACTTAGCATCTGGTAAATAGCTTGTCTACATTTTGTTTAGTTCTTTTTTTAGAGCTTTATTCTGTTCTTTCATTTGGGACATGTTTCTTTGTCTCTTCATTTTGGCTGCTTCCCTGCATTCATTTCGGTGTATTAGGTAAGGGTTGCTATGTCTCCCCATCTTCATAGAATAACCTTCTGTAATAAGTGTCTTGTGGGGCCCAGTGGCACAGTCTTCCCTGGTCATCTGGGCCACGTGCTCCAGGTGTGTCCTTTGTATGGGTTGTATATGCCCTCTGTTGTAGTTGAGCCTTGGTTGCTGTTTGCACTTCAGTGGGAAGAACTGATCCTCAGGCTGATTGCTTATAAAGACTGCCGGTGGCTACAGTGGAGGAGTTGTTGTGCAGGGGCTGACTCTATGGAGTAAGATTTGCTTTAGCAGGGCTCTGGTGCTTGACCAGTCTGCCTTTCGAGTTTGTCGTTCTTGAATGTGACCCTGGTGATGCTCTGGCTCAGACCAATGCTGGCCACTGGGCACACAGCCCTGGGCCTCTTGAGAGGGACCTTACTGCAGGTCAAGTTCAGATGCAGCCTGTGCCACATGGTATGAGCCACCAAAGAATCCGCAGATGACCAAGCCATAAACTGAGGCCTGCTGCTGCGAGTGCCAGGCTTGGGGCTGCTCAGCAAGATGTATGGGGCATGCTGAGGCCGGAAGCTGCTTGTTTAGGTTTTGTAAACCTTTGAGAGATTTTAGGAAAGTTTGCAGCATGAGCCCAGACAGGCTGTATGGAAATGTCACTGAAAGCAGCTTGGGTGGGCCTGCAAGTTGAGGTGAGATCTCAGGGAATCACCAGGGCAGGGCAAACTGTGAGCCAGGTTGATGGAGACTCAGGTATGGCAGCCACCTGTGTCTGCACACCAGGAAGGAGGAGGGCTCAACAAAGGAACAATGGCTTCTGCCAGAACTTCTGTCTGAGAGAAAGATGACCCTCCAGCTCTCACCCTGAAGCCAGATAATTCAGTTTCTTCCCATATGTCCCTGGCACCTTTTGAGCTGTTGCCCCAGAGCTGGAGCTTAAACCATGTGAGCCCATCAGTGAGTAAGTCAGTGCATGGGTCCCTAAAGTGTCAGCCCTTTGTCTCATTCATCTATAATCTCTGCTGATTTTCACAGCCAGAGATTGTAGGGACTTCTCTTCCCAGTATTAGAACACTGGGCTGGGGAGCCTTGTGTGGGGTTGTGATCCCTTGCTTTTCCAGGGAGATCTCTGTAGCCGTGACTTTCTCCTGATTCTCAACTGGCACGTGTTGGTGTGGAACCAGCCTGTTCCATGTCTCTGCCCCTCCTACCAGTCTCAAGGGGGCCTCTTTTGTGTGTCCCCAATTGTAGGACTTCTGTTCAGCTAGATTTTAGGCAGTTCTCAATGACGGTTTTGCTAGTTTAGTTGTAATTTAATGTGTTGTAAGAGGAGGCAAGCACAGTGTTCACCTACTCCTCCATCTAGACTGAAACAAAAACCCATTTTTTAAAGGAAATTTTCAGTCATGGCAAAAGTAGAGAGGATATCACAGTCCTCCCCTTCAGTCAGCTTTTATAATTTCTAACATTTTCCAGTTTTATTTCATTTACTCCTTGTGTTCAACATTTTTTTTTAAACCTGGAGTATTTAAAGGTAAATACAAAGCTTCACAGTTTACTTGTGTATATTTTAGTTTTATCTCTACAAGATAAAAAAGTTTTTAAAAAACTATACTCTTATCATACCTAAGAAGATGTATTTTGAAATATATGGTTACATTTGCATAAACAACACATCCATACATATATGTGATGTAGTAGAATTTGTTCCTGAGAAATTCCCATGATAAATTTTGAACAAAAGTGATCATAGCAAGGCAGGAACTTGTACTTCTATTGGCCTCTGTGTGCTTCCTTCCATAGGATCAAGGACCATCCAAGGGTTTTGTGGTGTGGCCATCATAAAGTATCCTGGGGCCATGGTGAAGGCAGGAGTGGACATACTGGCCTGCACTTCTGGCAAAGAAAGATTTGTAGTGGACAAGGGACAGAAGGGACAGGAGGAGGAAAGGGGTCATGGAAGTGGAATGCAGCATAGTGGTGAGAGTCAGGAGCATGTAAATGTTCAGCTGCTTCTGTGAACACAAAAAAGTTAGGGAGAGCAAACAGGTCCACAGAGGATTTCTGGAAATTTGATTCCTTTATACCCTTAGACTGTCTCTTAAAAAATCCTGAAGTAAAGATGCACATTACTCAGATTGATTAGGCGATATGAGAATAGGGATAAGAGCATAGACTCTGGAACCCAGTTTCTTGGGCTTAAATGTTGGCTTTGCTTCTTAGTGGCTTTGGAAGATCAGGCAAGTCACTCTATTTTTCTATGCCTTAATTTTCTTGTCTGTAAAATAGGTATAATTATAGTACCTACCTCATAGGGTTGTCTGGATGATTACATAAGTTTTTGCATATATAGCTCTCAGAAAAATGCTTGGAACATAGTAAGACCTCAGTAAATGTCATCACAGTAAATGTTATCACCATTTACAGTGTCTATGTCAGTTTGTGTGTGTGTGTAATGGGGATTAGTGTTACTCAGCATGTAGAGCAGGGCCATTTGGAACATCAGATATTATTAGGATCACATATGTGTGTATATATATAAATATATATATAATGACATGTTATTTATGCTAATATTATTCTACGTTCTATTTAATTAATGTCTAACAGATGCTATGGTTTAAGATTCAGTTGTTATGCTCTTGGGAAACTTACCTATGTAGAGTTTTGACCATGCAATTTTAAGGTAAATGCCTTTGATTCAGAAAATATTTGTAAGCAGGGCAACTTGCTTTTAGAATGAAGCCGTTGCTAGTCCCAGGCCTCTGCTATTAGCAATCTAAGGGGGAAATTTTCTCTTTTCTCTTTTTTTCTTCTGGTTTATTAGAGCCTGTATTCCTAACACTGGGAAGAGGGCCTGGCACAGATGATATACTCAGAAAATGTGCTATTAAAGGAATGATTGAGCTAATGAATAAATGACTAGACCTTATTTAGCCATAGAGATGCTTTTGCACGATTTCATAATGTCATGCAGATGTTCCCAATATCACCAGCCTGTTGCTGCAAAATAAAGTCACTTGATTTATTGATCAAATTATGGTCACTTAATCCATTACCACCTCATTTGGGAAACTAGTCCCTTCAGAGCACTGCCTCCCCGCCCCCTCCCCTCCAAAAGTTATTTCTGTGAATCCCCTAAGGGGTCTTCACATCCACATGCCAGTCTGGAAGCCTTAGTCCTCACATGGCATCTTCCCCACTCTCCTGGTCCATCCTTTTGTGGCCAGGGCCTTGAAGACTATCAGGGAAGCTTCGCTGCCTGCCAACATATGCCAACATCCAGGCTAGGTGGGCTGACACTGGATTCTCTCAAAAGTTCCAGACCTCAGAGTGACCAATTCTTGAAGTCCTTAGAGAAGAGGAAACTTTGGCTCTTCCTTAGGTCTTGCCACACATTGTCAGCTGGTGTCTGGGGACAGATGTTTAGTCAAGTTCCACAGGTTTTCATAGAGACAGGCTCATCAGTTCCTAACTCCTTCATAGTGTAGATGCTCAATCACAGGCTGCAGGGCTGCACAGGTCTGCAGCCCTGAGGTGCCTGCCCTGCTCTCCTCCACTTCCCTCTAGTCCACTCTACTCTCTTCTCCAGGTACTAAGGAAAGGTTCCCAGGCCTAGCAGTGGGTTAAAATATCCAGAGTTAAGGATATGTGGAGGGGTGTCCTCTCCTCCAGGACGTGATGCTCTAGCACGTGGACTATCAGCCATCCTCAAACACCTTTTTATACAACTAAGAATAGCAATTGTCCTCTGAGCTTGTATCAGCAGATACCAAGCTGGTGGCAGGTGTTTTACACAGACTAGTTCTTGTCATCTTTGTAGCAATGATTCTTTGTACCATGTATTAATGAGGAAAATGTGGCCCAGGGTGGCTTTATCTCTTGCCCAAAGTTATACTTAGGTGGCAGAACCAGGATTCAGATCCAGGGCTGTCAGACTTTAAAGCATTATATTATTTCATATAATTGAAAGTCACGGTAAAAACACACACTGTTCCGCAGACTTCTTTAAGTCATCTCTGTTGATTGCCCATGGGTCTAAAACTCCATTCTTAGGGCCCAGGAGGAGGAGGAGATCCTGCCCAATCTGTCACCCCTCCCTCCCAGCTCTTTACCTTGAGGCCTAACATTGTGCCAGTTTGTAGTCTAGGCCCTTCCCAGTGTGACCGGGCCGGCAGTTCCTTGGCCCCCATCATTCCCCAGCAGTGAAATCAGCCTGGCCTCACTGCCACAGGCTGGGGGTATTCTCTAACGCCAAACACATGTGCTTGTCTCTTATGTTTGGTGGTGCCCTCCTACTCTTTCTCAGTATGGCTCATGCTTTATGAAGTATGGGACTTTCCCCATACTTCCCAGTGCAAGAGTTGCCCACATGCCCAGTTTCCAAGATTAGTTTTACCTTTCTCAAGTACCTGGGTGTGTCCAGGAGCCTACTCCAACACACAGAACCCAGATTTTGGCCTGAGCTTCCAGTCCAGAGGCCTTCGTAACCACTGCCCCCAAAGACAACACTGCTTACCAGGTTTTTATGCCTACACCAGGCTTCCAAACTCCTGTCCTTGCTGGGCTGGGTTGGGGATAATTACTTCTAGCTCCAGATCTCATTCGTTCCCAAGCAGCCCTGCCAGGGCTTGTTCGCTTGGGAGGAAAGCCCAGTCCAGGTCCATGACGTGCCACACTCAGGTAGACAAATCCTACAAACGTGCTGCTGTTAGAGGTGTCCACATGGCAATTTGAACAGCCTTCCACAGAGTTGGATCTGGAGATGGAGAGATAAATCCATCCACCAAAGGAGCCAGGAGGCTGGCTGAGCTTGGATGTGTGTCATGAAGACTAGTCTGTACAAGTCAACTAACAGGAATATCAGTAACGAGCTGCAGATCAGTTTGGATGTCGGTTAACAGATTTTATTTACCATTTACAAAAGAGGATAATTGCATGCAAATTAGGAGGATGCTGTACTCGCTGTGGAGGGTGAACTTGGTCCAGCACAGCCTTCTCCTGAAATATGGACTGCAAAGGACCTATTTGTTCAGTCTGGGCTCCTGACTTCTTAGAGCCCATCTCTTAACAATCTCTGGGTTGGGGACCGCAGAAGCCCCAGTAAGGATCCTGCACACCAGCACACCTGAATAACACCTCAAAGCACAGACTCAGAAATTAAGAAAACTTTATATGCATATCATCTGTTTAAATAAAATCACTGATGTATTATTCTAGAGGGGTTATTAGTGGGCAGAGGAAAATGCAACGAACTGTTATATTTTTCTCTGGGTATTCATTTCTAGAGTTCCTTACAGCGAGTTTCCTGAAAGTCAGACAGAATCTCTTTATATTAACCACAGAGGCCTACAAGTCTTCTCCCCTGGGGGAGGTGGTCTCAAGCTTACAAGGTGGGCCCCAGCTAGAAGACAATGCTGAAGAGCCAGGAGTCCTCAGACCAGGTCCCTCTGGCAATTGGGTGTGGCCTCTGGCAATCTCTCTTCTCTTGGCTACTTGTTTTTGTCATCTTGACAAATGGAGGTTTGGACTGGATGTGCCACCCAGCTCTTGTGCTCTCTGATGGCAGCTGGCCAGGGCTGCACAGGGGGTGTGGTAGTGGTGATGGGGAGAAGGAATGGATGGAGAGGTATGTGTATCAAAGGCAGTGCCGTCATCCAGCTCCGGATGCCGCGGATCAATGGCAGCACCCTAACCCAGCACAGCACCTCCTGGGGTACTTGGCAGAGTAGCTAAGAGGTTTCTAATACTTTCCAGAAGAGCTGCACCCCAGAGAACTGGTCTGTAAGAAAATACTTTAGATGTGTGCTGCTTTGCACTTGGTTAAAGCCCTTGTCACCACTGTTTATTTCGATCTTCATCCTGGACCTCTGCGTGAGGCAAACGAGACTTACTTTCTTCATTTTACAGGAAATTACAGGGATTGAGAAAGATGATCAGAGAGTCTAAACAGCTTTCCCAAGGTTACACCACGTGCACCAAAGAGCCGGATAAAAATGGGCATCTCCCCATATCTCAGTCTTGATATTCATCCTCCACCTGCACTGTCTCTTCACAGACTTATGCTGGGACAGCTGCTTATAGAGGGGATTGAAGCCGCTCCTAATGCCTCTAGGGCCACCATTCTGACTCCAGCTTGGACATTTTCGGTCCCAGGGCAGCCCTGGTTGAGGCACCTGCCCTCACTCTTGAAAGGCCCATCTTACACCTCTGTGTCCCTGGTCTCCTGTAGGCACAGCAGAGGCCCACAGGGTCTACCCGAACACCATCCCCATCTTCCCAGTGGCTTTCAGGTACAATTCCGCAGTCGGCGTGTTTGCAGTGCATCTTGGCCCTTTTCTGCCGCATCTGTTCTCCCTCAGCCTGCGCAGTTCACTGATCTCCAACTTTAGCCAGCACCCAACCTTTTTCTGCTCCTGCTCTTAGCTAGAGGCTTCTAGTTGGCCTTGTCACATGTGGCCGGGGACCTGCTCCTCGTCTAAGGCTGCTGAGGCCTCAGGAGGACCTGAGGGACTGTGAGGTCTGGGGTTGGTGAGTAGATGACACATAGAACTGGCTCCTTGTTAATTCCCAACCTCTGTGGAATGGGGAGCATAGTAGCTGTGCCAAGGATCTGGGTGATAGGGAGGTATTTGCCAATCGTAGCCAGAACCAGAGAAATCCGGAGCCCTGGATACAGGGGTTACACCATTGTATAAAACAGGAATGACCCTAAGGAGCAGAGTGGGGAGCACAGAGTGGGAAAGAGAGGGGCCACAGACACACTCTAGAAGTAAGCCTTGCTAGCTACACTCTTCTTCTCAAACTTTTGCCTGAGCTCAGATACCAGAGCTGACTGGACGGGGCTTCCCAAGGCCTTGGGTTTGGGAGACCACTGGGGTTGAGAAGGGGTGAGTGAGCCAGAGACTGTAGGCACAGTCCAGGGGGCTGTACCTGAGCTGGGCGCCATTCCCGGTGGTGGAGGGGGAGCTGGGGCTCTGGGGGGTGGAGGGGTCCCTAGGCTGTTGTTGTTGCAGTTCTCATTGGGAGGATCCTCTTTAAGCACAAACTTGGCAGCTGCCTTGGTCTTGTTGAACTTGAGCCACTCGATGCCGACAGCGCGGGGTGCAGGGCTGGGCCGTTTGCGGAGCACACGCCGCACTGGAAGGACCTTGTTGGATTTCTTGTTGCGCCAGAAGGTGGCAGTGGAGATGAGGACGGTTATAGCCACAATGATGGCCATGATGCCGGCCAGCACACCCACAGCCTTCATGGGGTTGTCTTTGGTCTGCATCAGGAAGGCGTCAATGGGGCTTCGGGACATCATCTGGAAGAGAGAGCCACCCCTGCATCCAGCTGTTCCTGCCTGGTCCCTGGAGGACAGGGCAGGGGTTGTGAGCTCCGTTAAGCCTGATGGTTTTTAAACTTTCTGGCATCAGGCATTCCTTGAGAATCTGATGATCATTGTGGACTCCATTCCAGAAAAATGTACACAGAGAAAACACAATGTACACAATTCACCAGAAAAGAGTGCACAGAGAGAGCATGATGCAAACACCCTTTTTCAGATTAAGATCTGCATTAGCTGGACTTTGTTCTCCAGAGAGAACGAAGGATATCTCTCACCTTTGATTATGGAGGACACATCTACCCAAATGTATCAGGAATTCCTGAAGTGATGAATTTCTGCCTGACATTGAGCTGAAAACTACATGATGATTGCACTTCTGCCTTTCAACACCCATGTGAAGAAGGCATCACTATTCCCATTTTATAGGAAGGGAAGTGGAGGCCTAGCAAAGTCTAAAGTCACACCATTGATAAGTGTTGAAACTAGGATTTCAACCTGCTTCCAAAGCCTGTGTGTTTGCTAGAACAGGAGCCTTTGTTAGCACTGTCTTTTAGAAGGGATCTGGAGATGGTCTTTCTCCCTCCGACCATGTCGCGGTGAGACCAGGGCTGGCCGTCGGACCCTCTTCCCAACCTGGGATTCATACCCACCTCAGTATCTGTGATGTCAATCTTGAGTAAGGCTGTGGTGCTGAAGGATGGGGAGCCACGGTCTTTGGCCTGCACCTCTAGGGACCATGTGTAGTCCCCGTTGGGTGTGATATTGTGCAGGGCATCCAGGGAGCGGATGGAGTTCTTGAGTCGAATCTCTCCCGTGTGTGCATCGATGTCAAACACATTGGCTGGCTCTGAGCGGGTGATGGAATAGTCCACCAGGTTGTTGGGCTCCTCTGCATCCTGGTCTGTGGCCTGGGCACAGAGAGGGACACACATGGTTGAGCTTCCAGGACAATAGTTATGTACTCTAGTTAAACCAATATGTCATATGGAGCTTCCTGGATTATGGGAAATGTTTCTGATCCTATTGAGTATACTGGAGTTGGGAGAGAAATTGAATGTGTGCCCTGCTATGTGCCAGGGTGTGTGCCAGGCCATCTATGTGTGTTACGTTGTTCCATTCCCAGAACAGTCTAGGGAGTAGGTATTGCTGAAAAACAAAAGTTTGGATACTCAGTGACTTGTCTAAGGATAGATAAGTAGAAGAAAGGGAGCTGGGATTCAAAGTCAAGTCTGCAGGGTTTTAGAGTCTATGCTTTTCTGCACTAGGAAGACAGTGCAGTTCAGTGGGAAATGTGTTGCTTTGAAATCAGACTGACCAGCTATGTGAACTAAAGTAAACCAACATTTAACCGATCTGAGGGTCAATTTTTTGTTTTGTAAAGTGGCAATAGTATCTTCTTTTCAGAGCTATTTCTGAGTTGAGATGGGGTTGGGAATATACAAAGTATCTTAAACACCCCGGCCCAGAGTGAGAATCCAATACATTTTCTTTTAAAATAAATTCTTATGCTACACTTATAGCCACTAGACAAGGCTTTTAGGGGAGCTTACCTGTCTTGGAAGCCTACCTCAATTTTCACTGGGGACCCCAGCACCATTGTCTTCTCTTGGATTCTCTTTCCAAACTGGGGGTAGTGGTCATTGACATCTAGCAGAGTGACGAACACCTCAGCCAGGCTGTACCTGCCCTCCATGTCCTCTGCTTTCACATAGAAGTTGAACCTGGCAGTGGCCTCAGCATCCAGGCTGGCCCAGGGCTGGGTGTAGATGATCCCAGTAGATGGATGTATCAGGAAGCTGCTGGGCACAGAGAGCTCAGACAGGGGTGTACACAAGGACATGCGCATGCACATGTGTGCACACACATGGATGTACACGTGCCTGCAGTAATGAGCTGCCTTTAGAAAGTGGCAGTAGTGCATTATGCAGCTCCTCTAAGGTGTCCCAACTGCCCCTATCCCCTATCTTGCAGTGTGACTGAGGGAGGCAGGTCTACCCATCTACTTACTCATCTATCAAAATTGAACTTAACAACCTGAGTCACAGTCCTCTCCTTTCCTTCTATGGCCTGCTCCTCCCTAGCCCAGCACTGCTTACCTGGCTCCTGAGGTCCTGGATCCTAACTCCAGGCCATCTTGATGACCCTTTCTCTCTCAGATCCCAGCATCTCACGGAGTGTGTCCCCAGTGCTTCTGCCTCAGGCTCTCCACTGCTTCCTTCTACTCCTTGCCCCTATGTTTGCCTCCCTGTCCTTTCCAGTTTCCTCCTGCCTTTGGCATAGACCCTATCCCCCCTCAGCCTCCCAAATTCCTTGCCCAACGCCTTGTCTAGGATTTTGGATCTACTTACAGGTCTGCCCCAGACCCATAGATGGAGTATTTGACTTCACCCCAGGGACCTGTGTCTGGATCCACAGCCTGGAAGAGAGAAAGCTCCTAGTGGCATCTGCCTTTTTGTCTGGGCATGTTGGCAGCCCAATGTCTGAGGGTTGTTTCCAATGGCAAAACAAGAGATTTTAGGGTTTGCCAAACTGGGGAAAACTGATATGGATGCCTGTCCTGGAGACCTAGTTTTCTGCTCAGGAGGTGTCCAGTGTTGGAGGAACCAAAAGGTATAGATCTGGAAGGCATGTATTCTTCCTTTGTAAATGAGAAAGGGAAAGGAGGTAAGTCCTGTGCCCTGAGCTTGGGATTCACACTTATCTCCTCCTTATAGTCCCATAAGGTTCTGTTATCTTCATTGTATAGAAGGGAAAAACAGGTGCTCACAGAGGGCATGTAGCTTGTTCAAGGACACAGCTAATAAGAGTTGTGTCCTTGTTCAAGGACACAGCTAATAAGGACACAGCTAATAAGGGCTTTGCAATTCAAACTGAAGCCCAAGTTTCTCTGACTTCATAAGGTCCCCTTTGGTGGGGTTTCCAACTCCACCCTCAGTCCTTGGGCCAGTCCCCAACCTACGGTGACAGCCACCACGTTAGAGCCCCCCGGGGCATTCTCAGGGATCCTGGCAATGTAGTAGTGAGAAGTGAACTTGGGGACATTGTCGTTGGTGTCCAGGAGCTGGATCACTACATCTGCTGTGGAGCTGAACTTTTCTGGGGTGTTCACTTCAATGGCCAGGAGCTGGAGGAGGAAGGAAAGCAAGGACTTGTTTGGGTGGCAATCACCCTGCAGAGAACCTTCCCACTTCCTGTCTCAGCCCTAGACCAGCGCCTACCTGCCTCTTCTCACTTCTTACTCTCAGCTGCTATTCTTGTTACCACCTGCAGGGCCACCTGTAAGGCCTTCCATCATTTCTCCCCACTGACTTGCAATGCCAGCTTTCTTATAGTTCCCAATTGTATGTCAGCCAGTTTCTTTTGTTGCACACATTCGAATATTCTTTTTTATTTCCAATTTTAAAATTAACTTTTCTTTATGACATAATTTAATATTTTTTAGAGCAAGTTCCTGACTAATATTCTTTTTAAAAATTTTCTTATAGGTTTATTTTTCCAGATAAAAACCAATGTAATTGTGTCAAGCCCCCCACCATCACCCTGAAGAAATTCTAAGTAAGATTTAATTGAGGTGGCATTGAATTCCTTATTAAGGAGAATTTGCATTTTTAATAGAATATGCCTATACATTTCTTGTCTTCTTTATATCCCTTTGCTAAATTTTCGCATTTTTTTTTTTTGTCATTTAGATGCTGCATGTTTCTTGTTATGGTAATTCTTAGGAATTTCATCTGTCATTTGTCATTGTAAAAGACAATCTTTTATTACTTTATTCTCATTGCTATTTTTTTTTGTACATAGGAAAACTATTAGATTTTGTGTATTAACTTTGTAACCAATCATGTTAATCACTTTGCTACTTCTAATAGTTTTTCAATTTCTCTCAGATTTTTTCTAAGCAAACAATCACATCACCTAAACATAATGATAATTTGTCTCTTTCTTTCTAATGTTTATACCTCTTATTTTCATTATATTTCCAGGGATAATGTATAAATAATAGCGGTGAGAGCAGGCATCCATGTCTTGTTCCTGAATTCACAGAATACTTTTAGAATTTCATTTTTAAGAATGATGTTGGTTATCGATGTGTATAATTTTAAATAATTATAACAATTTAAATAATAGCAATGAAGAATTTATTTTTCCTTTTTATTAAAATATATTATTTATATGTTTATGTATAATAGGCATCGTTTATATGTTTACAATTTTAAATAATTATAAATACAAAGGAGTATTTTTTTCATCTTCCATTAAAACTTTTTTTTGGAATAGATGGCAGATATCAAGTGTATATGACAAGAACATTTATCTTGACAATTAAATAGTTTTTCTTTCTCCATCTATTAACACAGCACATTATATATTGATAGTTTCCCTTCGAACTCTCATTGCATTCCTGGGGATAGCTGTAGTTTAGAAGCCGGAGCTCAGAGAGGCAGCGCGAGCAGTGGGAAAAGGCTCCCCATATCAGCAGGAGGGGCAGGGGGTGACAAGAGACTCCTCGGGAATGAGTCCAGGTGCTGGGATCCCCATTCAGGGCAGTGCAAAGCATCACTTACCTTGAAGGTTAACACTTTGAACTTTTCAAAATCAATGGCGGCTGAGTTTTCCACAATGATCGTGACTTGGGCTTCATTCAGGACCGTCTGAGGGACCACTCGGAAGATGCCCCCGGGTCCCACTAGCCGCAGGTTGAATTTGGCATTGGCTCCCTAGGCAACAGAGTTTGGAGAGAGGAAACAGGGAGGACAAAGGAGAATAGAAATTCATTATATAGTCCTGCTAAGTGAAGAGACTTCGTATGCCCTTAACCTTGGAGGTAAGTATTATTACTTTTTTCTATAGGTGAGATGATCAAAGATCAGAAAGATTTAGCAGGCTATGAAGACTACACAAGGGAAAAAACACGTAGGCTTAGCCCTGTGTTGGGCATAGAGGCAACGGGACACATTTTACAAACACCTGTCAGGCAGGTCAGATGTTGAGATGCTTTTGTTTGACTGATTTTTACTTTTTAAATGATTGCGAATGTCTTTAGGCCAAGCAGATATTCTTTGGTTAGCTATCCTCTCTCTTTCTCTCTCTCTCTCTCTCTCTCTCTGTCTCTCTGTCTCTCTATCTTTCTCTCTGTTATACCCCCTTGTTTTATTCATTTTGTGACCCATCAGGCCCCTTGTGACATAAGCAGTGAAGGCTGATGCAGACTAAGCTTTGGTACCTTGGCCCCATATAATTTAGAGGAAGACAGGATGTAGGGCAGGGCCACACACCTGGTCTGAGTCGTTGACGGTGATCTTGAGGCCCCGAAGAATCTCCCCCTGAGGCGGGTGCTCATACATGGACAGCTCAAATCTGTTCTGGGGTCCACTCTCTCCATAGAATGTAGGCGGATGGTTGTTGAGGTCCACGATCCTGATGGTGACTGGGGCCATGGCCTGAGCAGCTGGGCTCCCTGCAGAACTGACTTCAGTCACCTAGGATGGGGACAAGTGGCTATGGTTGTGTGACAGGCTGACTCCAAGGTGGCTCCAATGATCTCTACCTCTTGGTATTCATTCTTGAGTAATTCCTTCTCCTTAAATGTGGCCTGACCTGGTGACTTGCTTCTAACTGATAGAATATGGCAAAGATGATGAGATATCACTTAGTGATTAGATTATAAGAGATTCTAACTATCATCTTTTAACAGACTCTTGCTGGCTTTGATGAAGCAAGCAGCTGTGGTAGAATGCCCATGTTTCAAGGAACTAATGGTGACCTCTAGCCAACACTCAGCAAGGAACTGAGGTTCTGAGTCCAACAGTAAATGAGGAAATGAAATCTTGCCAATAACCATGTGAGCTTGGAGAGTGTGCTCTTTCTTCAGTACAGCCTTCAGTGAGAACCCAGTCCAGGGTGACAACTGGATGGCAGCCATTTGAGATTTTGACATTGAGGACCTAGCTAAGCTGAGTCTGGATTCCTGACCCACGGAAAATTCAAGATACACATGTGTGTTTTTTAAAGCCACTAAGTTTGTGGTAATATATTATAACAGCCATAGGAAACTAATACAGTGCTGGTACTAATCCTGCTTAGCAGATGAGGCACAGAGTGGTGAAGAAGTCACCTGGCATCACAGCTAGTGAGTAGCAGATGTGTCTGATTCTTTAGCCAGTGCTTTCTCTACCTCACCACACAGCTCCCTCTTTGCAGTCAGACATGGATTCAAACCCTAGCTCTACCACGTTCTGTCCTTGTGTCCATTGACCAGGGAGAGGGTACAAGGAGGAAGGTGTGGAGATGCAGCAATAAATGACTAATACAGGTTGCAAAGCCAGGGCCGAGAGTCCATAGGCACCTCAAGAAGCATGTGGCAAATACCATATGAGCCCCTTCAAGGACTTCCTTCCTTTTTGGTCTATAAACACACTCTTGTCTTACCTATCCTAAAATTTCCTTCCCCGGACCCCGGTCTGTAACACTCTACCTGTTTCTTAACTCTCCTTTCTTAGAAGCCTACACCTGCTGTCTTCATTTCATACTTCCCATCAATTCTCAGACCATCCCTAGTTCAGATACTTCACATTGACTTCCATGTAGCATGTGGCCCTGCCATTCTCTTTTACCTTTCCTAGAGCTCTATGCCCTCGGCTAATGCGACTGCTCTCTGCAGGTTCCCCTCAACCTCTGGGATATCTCCTCCACGTGCTCCTCCTTCTTCCTCACCCTAAACCTTAGATGTGCCCGCAGCTGTGTACTTGGCCTACGGCTCCTCTCTCCCCACAGCCATACTCTGGGTGATTTCATTCCCTCTCATCCTTTAACAGCTACCTGTATGTTTGTACTCTCTCCTCTAAATTCTAAATCTGTATACCCAGGTTTGGATGTTTTAACTTGAATGTTCCTGAAGCACCAAAATTCATCATGCCTGTCCTATCCAATTCGCCTCCTTCGGCATGGTATCACCCTAAGCTCATCCATCTCTCTCTTTCCCCCGACGCCTCATAGCCAGTTGACTGCCACATTCTGTGGAATCTGCTTCCTTCATATTTTGTGATTTGTCCGCTTTTGCCATTCCACATCCCCTCATCTCCATGGGTCCTCTTCGCCTGTCGCCTTTTGGCTGATGGCACTGCCCCCTTGCCTGTTGTCTTTTTCTCTCCAAACCCAAGTCAGTACCAGTATTTTCAAATGCTAGGCTGGCACTGGTGCCAGAATCACCTGGGAGCTCAAAACATGCAGAGTTCTGGGTTCACCTCAGCCACTCTGGGTTCCCACTCCCAGGAGTGGGTTCTAGAAATCTTCATTTACCATGCTCTCTGAACTTGAGAACCCCCTTGTCTAGTGAGCAGCCTGCATAAGCTTTTTGACATGACTCTAATCCTGCTCAAAACATTTCAATGGCTCTAGTGCCCTGGGGTAAGAGCAGCTACATAATTTTCAGGCCCAGTGAAAAGTGAAAATATGGGGCCCCTTGTTCAAAAATTATTAAGAATCTCAAGATAGCAAGAGCAGAGCATTTAACCCCAGCATGGGACCCTTCTAACCATGGTCCTTGTCCATGAAGCTGGCCTTGCTCCAGGGAAAACCCATATCTGGTATTCAGGGCCATGGCTCCTCTGGCCCCAGCCCTGGAATCCAACCATTCCTCCATCTACATGTTGCCCATGGACATTTTGCTCCAGTCCTACTTGATTCCTTGTCTCCCTAGTATATTATGTGCCCTCGCCTCCAGCGTGGCTCTTTGCACTTTCCTAGCTTGGAAAGACTCCACTCCACCTCCACCCCACAAGCACTCCCCTCCACCAGTCTCCACCTGTTGGGTCCTACCTGTGCTCAAGACATAGATGCCTCAGTCCTACCTTCTCCTGCTTTGTTACAGCTCTCTGCTTGTGAATGTACATCTTTCTGTCACCAGAGGCTTAGTGTGCATTTGCTGCAGCCTTCACACAGGCTACCTGAGGTAGCCCCCTCCTCAGACTGTGAGTTGGGAGCTGGCCCTTCTGGGGCCAGACGGCAGGGAAGGCCAAGCTAGAGGGAAGTTACCTGTACATGCAGTTCATACACCTCTCTCCGGAGCTGAGCAGGGCTCTGTGTGACGGAGATGGCTCCAGAAGTCTCATTAATTTCGAAGGCTTCATCACTCCCTGTCACAGAAGAGAAACGCACCCTGCAGTTCTGACTAGGGCCACAGGAGGGCACAAGAGAGTTGTGCCAGGTAGGGTGCCATATGTTCCTCAAGCATTATCTCACTGAAGTCTCCAGTATAGAATGTAATTCTATCATCCATGTCTTGCCAATGAGGAAACTGAGTCTCAGAGGGGCTAAGTAACTGTGTCCAAGGTTACAAAACAAGTGCAGAGCTGGGATTTGAACTCACTTCTATCTGGCTCCCAGCTTCCATAGTACTTAGCTTCTCTTATGTATTGTGTGAGTGTGCGCACATGCGTGTGTGCATGTGCGTGTTGGAAAGAAAAAGAGAGAAAGGAAGAGATTCAGAGGAAGGGAGATAAGGAAGAAGAGAGAGAGAAGGGAAGGGAGGGAGGGCAACCCCCCCCCCAAAAAAAAAACCCCAAAAAAACAAAGAGAGAAGAAGAGGAAAGAGACTAGAGAAGCGAAAAGGAGAGTCCAGAAGAGAGAAGAGAGGGGTGCTTGGTGATTGAGTAAAGGTTTGAAGTGGTGGTGGGGAGGGAAGGTAGTTGAGGGCCTGTGTTCCTAGAAAAAGGAGGCTGTGTGTGATTGTTGGCATGTTTGTTCATGAATGAGCTGCTGAAGGGGGAAGTGTGCACCAGGCAGAGGAAAGAGACTAGAGAAGCGAAAAGGAGAGTCCAGAAGAGAGAAGAGAGGGATGCTTGGTGATTGAGTAAAGGTTTGAAGTGGTGGTGGGGAGGGAAGGTAGTTGAGGGCCTGTGTTCCTAGAAAAAGGAGGCTGTGTGTGATTGTTGGCATGTTTGTTCATGAATGAGCTGCTGAAGGGGGAAGTGTGCACCAGGCATTCTCCATTGCCTCCTCCAACCGTGGCCCTAGCAACCCTCCTAGGGCCAGGGTTGGAGGAGGCAATGGCGTCTGAGTGAGAGTATATAGACATATGCATGTCTGGGTTCAGACGTAAGGTGTGATGGCCCCACTGAGGGGCCTGGCCCTGTAGGGACTATCCACTGAATGCTGCAGAGCCCACCCCAGGGCTGGCCCTACCCACTAGTTGTTGCTCAGTTGTGGAAAGAGCATAGACTTGGAGTCAGCAGCCTTAAGTTCAAACCCAGTGGGAACTTGAGATGCCCATTTAGCTTCTCTGAGCCTCGGTTTTTCATCTATATGTAGGACTAGTACTAAGGAAATGCCATATCATCATTACATTTAATTCATTTAACTCAAGTATATGTTTGAGGCCAAAACATTTTTAAAAATTAGAAAAAAACATAGCGATTTAAAGAACATAAGACATGTTGCCACCCTTCCTTGTCAATAAGCATATGCCCAGGGTGAAGGGAATATAAATCTGTGACACTCGATATGCTCCCCCACCCAATGCTTTTACCCTTGTCACAGGACATAATGACAAGTGGGGGTCAGAGGACATGCCCATGGAGACTTGCTGCCTGATGGAGGGACCCAGCCTCTCCTCTTTATACATCTTGTGCTTCTGGCCCTATAGAGGAAACTAGGACTCAGAGAGGTTGAGGAACCTTGCTTTGGTCACCCAGGGAGTCAGAGTTGCTGCCCAGTGATGGCCTGTCCCCAAAGTTGCCCCAGACTCACCGTTCATGAGACTGTATAGAATGCGGTTGGGTTTGCCCCGATCTCCATCCATGGCGACCACCGTCAGTACCTCCGAGCCCTTGGGGTAACAGGAACAGCTGCTTGAGGCTCATTGGTGAGGTGAGGGCTCTCCCTTCCTCTGACATTGCCCCTATCATGGAAGGGAGGTGCTGCCCCCACTCAATCCCTGCTCTGTGGGAGCTCAGAACACCCACTGGCCTTCCGGGGCTGGAGGGACAGCCTGAGCCCCGCTGCTCCTCATCCACAAGGGTTGCCATGTGGGCTGCCCAGGGATCCTCGGGCTTCACACGTCTTACACTGCCTCTTTTCCCACATATCAGACTCAGCCCTTACGTCTACTGTTCCCACCCTTCAGCTTCACTCCTTCTTCCTCATCTATTTTTTGCCTTTAGAGGTGTGGAGAAGGAGAGGTAAGAAATTGGTGGGAGAGGGGCCCGTACAGAGCAGGTCCAATGCATTTTTTCCTGTGGCCCTGGAGTGCTGTTTGAAGGGTTTGGGCAGGGGTGCCACAACTAGACAAATCCTGTTCTGCCTTGGCCTGACACCCTCTTCTAAGCTTCCTACTCAGGTCTTTCTCCCTGGCCTATCCATACTCGGGCCGCTTCCTGACTGTCAAGTGCTGCCTCTTCTCCCCTCAGCACCTCCCTCCACCATTAGCTCCTCAGCAGGACAGGGCAGGCCTACCCCTGCCCCATCTTGCTGCCCTCCACCAGGGCAGCCCAGCATTTCTCTCCCCCTTGCTCTAGGCTCATCTCCACCATTCAGCTGCCATCTCTGGAAAGGTATTATTTTAGCTTGGGCCAGCATGCAAATGGTCATTAGTAAGTGTTTTTCATCATTTTACAAAGTTGGGAATAATCAGAAACCAGGGAAGTGAACATTGAGAATGCAATTCAATTCTACAGAGAGTTCTTGAGCCATGGTCATGTAAAGTCTGGTTCTGGCTATATCTCTCTTCAGGGAGTTCATGCTCTGGCAGGGGCGTCCTGTGAATACATGGGTGCATACCAAGGAAGGGTGGACTCATGGAATGGGTGTACCTAGTGTGAGAGCAGAGAGGCAGAACTCTCATCTCAACCGAAGGTGTCAGGGGAAGCAGTGCCTGGGCGAGGGACATCAGGCCCACGGGCACGTTTCAGGCAGAGGGACAGGGGCTGAGTGGCAAGACGGGCTGGGGTAGATAGAGGACAATGAGGGCTCATGGGTGGAGGGGCAACTGGCCCTCAGGTGCCAGGCCAAGGAATGGAACCTTTCCTGAGAGGCCTAAAGACGAGTGCAGTAGCCCAAACACTGGCATCAGGGACTGCACGGACGGGGAGAGAGCTGAGGCCAGCCTTCGAGCTGAGCCCATGTGATGTCTACCAAGGGTCGTGCTGG